AGAACGAAAACAAATCATGACATACAGGTACACTGAATTGGATCATAAATCAATTATTGAATTATATTATACAGGGTGATTTACAACTTATCCAAAAAAAATTTGGGAATAGATGCGGCATGAGAAGTGGAGTCAATATATTAAAAAAAAATTGTAAAATCTTTATAACGAGCGTTCAAATAAAAACGTGGTCAAGTTGGTTCTGAAAATTTGGACGTAGGGCGTAGCGTATAGCAAATGAACTTAAACGTCATCTGTCAAAGCGCTACATCGCCGCTATCAATTTAAATATTTTCGTTTTCTCAAGAACAAAAAGTGTTTATCATAGAGTCCTACTTTAGAAATGGACGCAAGATTGATGGAATATGGAAGTATTCTATTGAGGAATGTTTCATAGAATTTCAAAATCAATTTCCCGGCGTTGTTGAGTACAAAATTTTTCAAAGTGCAGTTCAGCGTTGTGTTAATGTTTTTCGTGAAACGGGCAGTGTAACAAGAAAAGAAGGAAGCGGCCGACCTAAAAAGCGGACTGAAGAATTAAAAGAAAATGTCCAACAAATAATGGAAAATGCGCCAAGAACTTCTGTACGTGTTTTATCACAAATGGTGGGAGTATCAGTCGGTACCTGCCACACAGTGTTAAAAAAAGATTTGCGTTTGTTCTCCTATCGTTTAACTTGTCAGCAAGAACTTCATGAAGTTGATTTTCCGCGACGGGCTGTATTTTGTGAATGGTTTTTAAACAACTACGGTGAACTTCATAATATCACCTTTTTTTCTGATGAAGCCTGGTTTCATTTAAGTGGTTACGTAAACTCACAGAATATGAGAATGTGGTCTTCTGAAAAACCAGATAACTTTTTTGTCGAGGGCCCTCTACACGCTCAAAAAATTGGAGTTTGGTGTGCTCTCAATCGAAGGAGGATTTATGGACCTATTTTTTTTAATGGTACTCTTACTGCGCAAAGGTATAGAGAAGAAATTATCGCTCCTTTTGTTAACCAGCTGGAAGAAAACGAAATTACAAACTTTTACTTTCAACAAGATGGCGCAAGGGCACATACGGCAGGCGAGACGATGAATATGTTGAGGGAAGTTTTCCAAAATCGACTAATAAGTCTCAATGCTGAACATGAATTTCCACCGAGGTCATGTGATATTACGCCGTGTGATTTCTTTTTGTGGCCTTACCTTAAAAACACTATTTTTGAACTGCCTATTCCTGATTTAAACCATCTGCAGGCTCGACTTATAGACAAGATTCGTGAAATTAACAATACCCCGAGCATCTTAGAAAATGTCTTTAATTCTTTGAGGAACAGGTGTGAAAAGTGCTTGGAACAAGGAGGGGGACACTTTCAGCAGCTGTTTTAATTTATTGTTATAACAAGGAGGGGGACACTTTCCGCAGCTCCGTTAATTGTTTGTTATTGTTATCACTATTATTCTTTAAAATAAAGTTATATAGTCATTAACGTTATTGAAACTGACAGCTGCTATACTTACAGCTCGTTGAGAAATGAGGTTAAATTGGTCGCTATAAGCTACTCCCTACGTCCAATGTGTCAGAGCCAACTTCGACCACGTTTTTTTATTTGAACGCTCGTTAGTTTCCGAGAAAATTATTGAAGTTGTAGTACATTGAACCATTACATAGCTGGACAACTGTAGTCTCTAGCGTCATTCGTATTACGCGTGGAAAGCCACGTGGCCTCAGCGAATACTGAAATCCGATTTTACAGTCGTCATTGCGTTAGTGTTTACCTGTTATCTGTGGTGTTTACAATAGCTTTTATTTAGTGTCAAAAATGGCTTGTGTGTACAGCAACTCGGAGTTGATGGATATCGTTTTAATTTATGGTGAAGCAAGACAACATTTTTTATTATGGTGAAGCATTTGTGTTATGATGTTAGTTTGTAGAAACTGAGTAAACGGTCCCAAATGTGTTTACACATCGATGGATAAAATTTTGAACAGTTGTAACATTAGGTATGTCAAATTATTTTATTATTTAAAACCATAAATTAATTTTATTAATTAATAAAAACAATAAAGCAGTTGAATTTACTGATATAAAATAGATGCTATAAAATTATATTTATTTCTTTCCTTGCAAAAGTTTTTGTCGGTTTTTATCACACTTGGTCGCCATGCCGGTCGCATTGTGGGAGGTCAGGTTTTACAGTGGACCAATCTCCAGTGCCGTGCAGAAGTGTATTTTTAAATCATTTTCGAATTGCCCTTTTTAATTTTTTCTTTATAAAATTGTATTTGTAAGAGTCTCCTATACATACAAAAAATTTTTTTGGATAAGTTCTGAATCACCCTGTATATTATATACACTTTTCCTTAAATATGTTTTTGTGTAAATATCATTTATAATACATTGTGTCTAAGGAAATTAATTTTAAAAATAAAAAAATATGTTGTTACATCTCTTTTTCACTATGTATTATAACAATGTAATAAATAATGTTAAAGATACCAGGGTTCTTTTTCTGCTGTATTTCAGCATTTATATTCCGATTAATATATCATTATCAATAAAATCTATGGGACATTATACATACGCCATAATATGGTTTACATTATAATAATAATAATATTGCTATTTTAATTACTATTTCCCGTAGGCATTTAGATAATGTAAAAAAAAATAAGTAAACAAAGTCCTACTTCATTTAAGTCAAGTTGAAACTATATCCTTGAACTTTCCACAATCCAGTTTTTCAGGTTGAAATAGATAACCCTGAAAATGGCAATATTATTCAAATATTTAATCTTTTACGATTCATATCTCGACTTGAAAGATAATAAAGAAGTTAACAACATTATAGTTAACATGTCTTTATATTTGAAGGTTTTTTATATACACCTAATATTTTTATGGATTGTAGATTCTGATATTTTATGTTTGACAAGCTAATGGTTCCTAGGCAATTTGACTACCTATTAAAAGAAGCAAATTTTATTATAAAGGTAATCCAATTTGCAACGGTATTGTGTTTTATTCGAATAAGTACCTAAATAATTGTAAATCTTATTTAATGATAACTTGCGTTATGTAAGAAATGCTTAAATAAATATCAGTAACAAAAAGTTGGAGATGAAAACAATTACCCAGTCAATGAACTGTAGTTTTTTCTTTAGGTACATTTTACATTAATTTTCTCTATAATTTTATTCTACCGTTAAATAAAGTAACGCAATTAAAGTTAAGGTCATGTCAAAGAATGAATCATTATATAATATGTAATTATTGATATACTGCAAAAAATACTGAGTAGAAAGAAAAGAAAGAAAAAGAAATACTCAATGAAAATTTGTTCATTCAAAATCAACACAATCTTTTGTTAAAATGACTACACGCCCATTTGTATTGAAATAAAGAGTAAGTAAATAATAATTGAAATGAATAAAATTGTACAAATTTTGAATGGTTATTTCTAACAATATGTTTTGACAGAAAAAATCGATGATAAAAACTAATTAAATGTGTTTTATTAGAGCCCAGAATAAAAAAAATGCTATTGAAAACGTGCGTATAGTAAATTTAACCCAGTAAGGTTCAAAACGCATTTTCGAGGGGGTATCTTTGAACCACAGGCACCATTGCAACCGGGCGAGGAGTCAAATCAAACCTGCTAGTCTTTATGTTTTTAGGGACCACGAAAACAGACTTCCAAGTTGAAAAATAGCTAAATTTTTTCCCATTTCCAATATTTATACCGGAAGCATTGGATGCAACCAGTTGCAGAGGCCATTAGGGAGTGCCTCAGAGGATTACCTACCATTACCTGAGAAGCGGAATTAGATTCAATAAGAACCGAAATAAACATCAGGGCGGATCTAGGAGTTCTAATAGCTGGTCCGCCCACAGAGTCTAACCCGAGAACAACAAGAGTATGTTAAAGATTCCTAGCTATGGCTAAGGAAGTGGAAGGTAATTCTGTAACAGGTCAAAGCATAACAACAAAAAACCATCGTACGGTAAATATATCCGTCATTTAGCCATCAATATTCGATGTTGCTCTTACCGCTTGGAAGTAGACGAAATAAAGTCTTATTTTGTGTGTTTTTGTTAAATTTTTTTAAATTTTTTGTTGTTTGTTTTTTAGTTGTTTCAAATTTATTTAGTTGTTTTTTATTTTTTTCTTCATTCATCTATTTTTTATATTTTCTTTTATCCCGTGTATTGGAATTTCATTACTCGGCCCGAAATTTTCTAATTTCGGCCATTTTTGAACAAATTTTGCAGATGAAAGTATTCGGAATCGAAAGAGGAAGTTCTGGATTTTTTTAGAGCCTATCGATTTGGTCAAAATCTCTTTTTTATCTCTTAAGATTTTCCGAGAAAACCCGCTTTTTTCGAGTAAAACCGTCGTAAATATCTGATTTTTCGGTTCAGCCGCCATTTTGAGTTATCAAGTGACTAATTAATGTTTTTTTTTTAATTCTGTGGGCACCCCTTGAAAGAACATCCCCAAAAACGTAGAGTCGAGCAGGTTTGATTTGATACTTCCGATTTTAACTTTTTATTTATCTTATGTTTGTGTTACGTGGTGTTACTGTTTGTGTTACCACGTGTTACTATGTATATTTTTGTAAAATGTATTTTTAATCTAGGTTAATTATGTGATATAATATTTGTATTATTCTAATTATGTAATTGGGTTTCTCCTGCAGGTAGTGTATTTAAAAAATGGCATTTTTTTAATTTTACTTTCTAGTTATAAACTATTTGATCATCTCTAAATTTCTTTGAACTCAAAAGTTTATTGCTAAAACCAGACGATTGGCAAACCTTCTACAGCACTGGAAATAGCCGCTCATAAACCACCGTTAGTTTTTATCGCCGTCGATTTTATGTCATGTTTAGTCTTTGAATGCACGGCTTCAACTCAACAATTTAGCATTGTTTATTTACCCGAGGGTCTTATTACAATTGCATCTGCAAGCGATCTATAGAATGCGTAAACATCGATAAATTGTTACTTACGTGCTAAAATTGTAACAATAACGAGGAGTTTCATGTTCAAAACAGGCCTACTTATGATATCAACATGAACTCGCTACAAAGTGCATTGTTTTCCAAGACCAAGGACAATTTTACCACTACGGAAGTCGAAGACCATTACACTTGATACTTGAGGTTCTTCACATGCTTCGATATGCAGTTCTGTAACAAAGAGAAGAGATCAGTATATTTTGATAGAATATTTACATGAAACTGCAATAGAGATTTGTTTTCTGTACAACTAAGTGTTACTAGAATAATAAGCAATAAATTATACATATAATTATATTGAAAGTATCCTTAAAGTATTTTCATTTATATTACACATTAATTAATAAAGACAAATTTCATTTAGTAATAAATTCATAATAAACTTTTTTAATTGAAACTTGAATAGAAAGTATACACTTTTCATGGAGCCACCCTTATATCTTTACTCAGTTGGTAATAAAAATTTAGAGTAGAAATCGGTCTACCCCTTAAATTTACACATCTTTCGCAACAAAAAATACATGACAAAAGAGTACATAAATGAAAATAATATAACAACTTTAAATAAGTAAATGATTTTGACTAAGTGTTTTCATTAAACAAACTTCCTTTTCTATGCATTTTTCAATCCTTTTATTACTTTTCTTCTTTCTTATTTCTCGTTCATTATCCAATTCTGCTTAATTTTATTTTCTATATCCTCTATAATGCGAAATCTATCCTTATAAACTTTTTTCTTAACAGTGCTACATAAATAGATATAACTATTTAGTGATTTAATATTGTATGTTTGTTTCTTCTTTGGCCATATATTATTTGATGCAAATATTTTCAATAAACCTAACAATATTAGTAGCATTTACACACATACACTGATTTTTTTCAAAGGTTAGATAAAAAAAAGTTTCTCGTAATCTGATGCTGCCTTAATACAAAAAGTAAAGGGGAAAAGTTTATCTAACTTCGAGGGTTTTTAAATTAAGATTGGGGCAAAAAAAAAGAACAAAATGTTTGGAAACCTATATATTGAGCACCTTTAAAGACGATTTCTTCAAATTTGGTACAGAGAAGTTTCAATAATGTCGAATTAGAATAGATTATTTGACACTAAAAAAACGCCAATATAATTTTTTTTAAGGTCCTCCCCATTTTAATTTTAAAACCGAACTCCTGTGAATAAAATTAAATATGGTTATATTAGAATAATCGTTATATTAGTAATTATTTCGCATTGAAAAATTAAAATTTTTCAGTTTAATGTAAGATGTAAAAACGAGAAATTATGAAACTCTTGCTTATATTTATAGAAAATGCCATACAATATATTTTCATTCGATTTTCCATTATAACTCGTTTTGTGAATAAATAATGTTTTATCTTTTTTCTCAAAAACAATTTTAGTTAGAAAAATCTACATGATAGGGATAGGTATACTAATGAAACACCACTATAATATTGTCCATATTTTCTTACCTACGGGGGTCCGATAAATTAACAATTTTTCGTTTTCTAGATATTGTAAATTTCAATATGTTAATTAGTTTTTTATGAAAATTTAATGCTTTTAACAGTTGGTATCTGTAATTATTCCTTTTCTGTTCAGTAAAGCAAGACATTTGTTCGGCATATAATAATAACTAATAATTTAAATGCACTAATTTTGAAAGAAATTTGTTAAAAATTTTATTCATTATTGTTCGATTTAGGAACATTTTTTTCAACTGTCGAATAAACTTAACTGTGGATTAAATTTATGTCTGTCACTTTCTTAGGTACATGTCTTTTATGACACAGATATAGATTTAATTGGTACGTAAAAAAACCTATACCTAATGTATTTTTCAGCTTTAAAACTTTATATACTTAATACATAATTAGAAATCGGAAATTTTAGGGCGATAGTGATGTGGTACAGGGTTGATTGTAGGCCGGGCTCTCTTTTTTATAATAAACAAAAAGGAATATTGTCTATTTTTCTACACTAAACGCTTCATATGGAACTTACCACAAAATATACAGATATAGTACGTAATAATAGGTATCAGCAAAAGTTAACAAAATAATAATTTCTTGCTCATAAGTAGCAAGTAGCTCATAAAGCGATTCTATTAACAGTTGCCTTAAGTGTTCCGCGATTAATCGTCTCCGGCGATCCGTAAATACCCATTTCAAAAACGAAAATGACCGTTCAACATTTACCGAGGTTACAGGAGCATATCTAAAATAGTATAAGTTTATAAAAGATACTATTTTTACTAATCAATTACTTCTCATTTTAGTAATCTTACTATCCGCGTCATTATACAATAACATATGCATGTCTGTCTCTGATCTGCAGCTTCTCATCGATCAATTTATTCCATACGTATCTAGCGGCACCCTAATGCCCGCTCTGTCGGTCTGGCGTGCCGGTGATCAATCCAAGTTTACTGAGGGAAGTTAAATAAATTCGACATATTCATCTTAGGAGATAAAAAATATAACTTTGTTATCGTGCTTTTGGGTATGAAATAATCCAAGAATCAACCTCCACAGAAGTTGACATAAATCTATAACATCCTGTATAATAAAAGCATAATAATAATATATGTTTAATAAATTATATCCTCTCACATCTTACTTCAACAATATTTGTTCATAAACATAAGCATTGCTACTAAAACAATTGAAGTAGTGTTAGTTATTTGTTGAAACTCTTAATGAATATTTATTTTTGCTGTTGTACAAATAAAGAAAACCGTCAATATTTATTTATTTGCTAACTATTAGAAGAGCGATGAATGAAGGAAAGTGTTTAGAAAAACAATTAGGGCCAACCCAAGTAAAAGTTCTTAAGTTCTTCAGCCGATCCCAAACACGACATAAAATTATGTACACAGTAATTGAAATTTGAATAACCGAACTTAAGCGTATGTGCACTTTTAAATTGAGGTTCAGTGTCAATATAGTCATGTATATTAATTTACGTTCCATATCAAACCGACAGTTTCACATTTAAATAAATAAACTCGTAAGTACCATGCATTGAGACATCAATTAATGTCACTGCTTGTTTGTTTATAACTAATATTTAATTCTGGACGTGACTGCATTGAGGTTGGGTGATGCACTTTGCTGCTTGGTCTAAATCGAATGTCGTAAACGACAATCAAACTAGGCAATGCACGTAGCGCAGATGATGCTGCAGCTACATTGTTGTCAGTGACTTCAACGCGTCGAGCTATGAAAATGGTACTACCCTCATTTAGTTACCACACGGAAGGTAGTGGAACAAATATTAACCTAGCCATGACAGAAACAAAAGACAGTATGCTGCCTATTACAGTTCAATAGTTAAGTGACAACTTTTTCATATATGTGTGTCAAATTTGAATTTAATTCGTTAATCATTTTCTGTTTTATGAACAGAATAAGTGAGATATAAGGTATAACAAAGTGTTACATCTATGGTTACTGCTACACATGGTCAAACTGGTAGATAATGACCTGCTATTTCGCAGGTCTATAAACGTAAATGCTGTATCGAAACTAGGCGAAACAATTTTTAGCTAATATTGCGGGAAACAACTGTCCTGCGCACTAATGCCCAAATTAGCATTGAATTACTTCCTCTATATCTAGTAAACAACTAGGATCACTTGTCGCAAAATCACCAGATATATACCGGTTTTAATCTTGTTAGTGCTCATCAGTACGCCACAGGTGATTAAACTGACGAAAGATTCAGCTATTTTTGTCTTAACTGCAGACAAAAAATGCACGTATAATTCATTGCTAGTCAAGGATTAATCCACAGAGTAGTTTTTTCCCGCAATACTATCAGTTGAAAATTGTTTCGTCTAGTAACGGCACTGATCTTACTTTCATAGCATCTGCGAAATAGTAGGCCACTTCAGTCATTTTGGCAGTATTGACAGTCTATGCACTGAGCATTAGTGTTTAATTATGTTTAAAATTAGCTGTCAAAATGCCTAATTAAACAAACCTCACGGCGAATAGTGTGGAAATTTGCTTTTTAGTAACTTTTCGTTTAAAAATAAGATTTGACAACAATGCACACTCCAGTTCCCAATACTCTGCGACTAAAAGCGCGCTGTAGTTTGAAGTTACGCTAGCTTGTCCAGGGGCGGGGTAAGAAAATTACAAGAAATGGATAATAAAAATTAAGTGTTCACAACGGAATTTCAAAAAATAAACTATTGATACATGTTTCTAAAGGTCTAAGGAAGCCTCTGTAGAAATATGACTCCTACTTAAAGTTACACCCTGTATAATCATATGTTTACACATTTAAATCTGTGACGTTAGTAAAACCACATATCTAACCCATATGCGACACTGAGAGAGAAAGGGCTACTTTGTGCAACACGAATGGAGATACATCCAAGTTAAAGAGACTGAACGCATGCGTATATTGGGGAATAATTCGAAACAGAACAGCTGTGTGACAACGTAAAATGATAATTTCAGATATACTATTATTTCTGCAATAAACAGAATATATGAAATACAAAACTTTAAGGATATATAAATTTTGTAGAGTAAAATAGAATGTTTGATTATTTTGCCCATAAAATGATGCTACTCGTATGAACGGTTTTTATCTGCGGATTAAATACGTTACCGATGAAGCCCAAATACTTCCGAACATGTTTTATTTCCGCATGGTTTATGTTAGTGATGTTACGTATAAATCATTTAATAGCCATTTTGTAAACATTGTGGTAGTTGGCTGTATTGGAGTGTTTTTAAGTTTTTCGAGTAAAACTTAAAAAACAGACTGAAAACACTCCTACTTACAATTAAATGAAATGAGAAACACTAACCATTCGGTTATTGATTCGAATAAAAAATTAATAACAGTGGTCAATATTTTAATGATTTTATTTAAGTAAATGCTCAAAAATACTTCCATTCCACGAACACAGGCGCGACATCTTTTTAATAACGAAAATGTAATTTGTTCGAAACTTATTGTTGCTTGAATCTGATGAAAAGCATTATTTATTATTTCTTCTAATTCAGAATATCAAAATTGCTATCACAGCCTACTATTTTTAAACCGCATTTTATTCGAATATCGAAGAGTAGTAATTTGTAGAAAATTGAAAGACGAATCCGAAAATATCATGACTGTTGCCGTAAATCAATTGCGTACTATTTTATTTAGA